CGGGCCAAGATTCTGTCCTACTCCTCGAGTTCAGCGAGGACACTTGGTTCACGTCCCCCACCAGACTGCCGAGTGGTAATCGCGACGTGAAAAAGCCCGACTTGACAGCAAAAATTCCAAAAGTGAGGCAAATCTTCGTACAGACACACGATCACTTTACGTGCGACGTCCACCGTCGGCCATGACGATTCATCACGATCGCGATGCAGCTCACGCATTGCAATCATCTAAATTGTTTCACTTACGTAGAAAGACATGATTCATGCGACCTAGACTTGACACCGGTAATTATATTTAGATTGTACCGCATTATACATTTTCAGAAGTTAAAAATGTTGCTTTTACGAGACCCTTCGATGCGGCGTTGCGCATTTCCCTCTAGGGACATATTTTGGGGACAAATCCCGATGAAGTTTCAACTCAATCGCCACTCTCCGTCGACGTCATCAACGCGCCGCGATGAAGTTCCCTGCCAGTTGAGTTCGCCGCCGATTGAGATTAGGCCCCTCCCACCGGCGACGTCACGATGAAGTTTCTTCATCGCTTTTTCCAGCATAGACAGAAAGGGCGCTCCCGTTCTGAGAGTGCGTTTCAGACCAAGAAAGAAAAGCACGTCTCTGTGTCTTCTAGCACATGCAACATCTTGCGCAGTCGTTCCACCCAAAGTACAATCTCCTCACATACGTATCCTACATCAATTCCAGTGAAAGCAAAGAACCCATTGCAAACATTGTAGAGCACACTGACTGGAGGCAAATCTCCTTGGGCATGCCTTTCCACAACGCAGCAGCGACCGCTGTCAATCGCAGCGTACTTTGTATTGTCTTTTTTTTTTAACTCTCCTTGCAGAAGTTTTTTTTTTTTTTTTTTTTTTTTACCTAGTGATGCGGCAATGTTTTAATTTGTGTGATTGAGCACGTGTCACCAACATAGCGAGTCCAATCTCCGAGGCTCACTTAGGCTCAGTGGAACTGAACCTTTAGACTTACCAGATAGATATGTGAGTGAAAGCCTAGCAAAGATGGCACGACTAGAAGTGAGTGACGAATTTATGATTAACACTTGATAATCTTTTTTTTTTTTTTTTCTTTTTGTTGTTGCTCTGGTTTGAGCAGTGGTAAGTCTGGGATGATTATCAAGGAGATACTGGTCGCCTGGGGTGATTGCGCTGTGTAATGTTTGGGTAAAATGCTGTACAAGTTTTGGTAAGCTTTACCAGGCCCCTACCACCCACATAACGTTTATCGTCAACAACGGGAAATTGCGGCTGAAAAAAAAGGCCATAAATAGCCCGCACCCGGTGGACAGTTCGCTCCTGGTGCATATTCAGCTCGTAAAAAAAAAAAAAAAAAAAAAAAAAAAAAAAAAAAAAACATTTTACGCACAGCACACCTTGAAAAATGACCGTTTTATTAACGCACGAACAAGCTTATATTGTACAGAAACTATTGTTAACACAATCTGCCATTCACAATTCGTCACGTCTCGTCACGTCCCGTCACAACGAACGATCTTGAAAAAACATATTTTTATGGTCCTCACCAGTACATATGTGCGCACCGCGTGAAGTTTCAACTTTGAAAGATATTTTGTCTCCTGACTGCAGTTCGGAAAATACGGTAGTTTTGCACAGAGAGCGAAATTCGGGGTATATATTTATACTCTTGTTTGTAGATATTGAAACTACAGTATGGATTACGTCGAACCGTATATGCCTGTGCAGCATGATGCAAAGGAGGACGGCAGTGGTGTCCCCGCATCTGCATCAAACGTACCTGTGCTTTCTTCTACCAAGGTAGCCTATCGTACAAAACAACATCCTTAGTCACTTTTAGCATTACTGTAGTCTTGCCATGTGTTTTAGCATTATTGTAGTCTTGCCTTTAAAGCTACACTCTAAAAAAAAGGCTATCACCTTGCACCCTTTGTCCCATATAATACACTTTAAAACTTCAGTTCGACGTACAGAGCCCTATAGTTGAACAGAAGGCACCATATTTTACGAGGGGCTTGATAATGGTTGTGCCACACGGCTATCAAGCCCCTCGTAAACTTTTAGGTCGTCTGTTCGACTATAGGGTGCTGTACATCGAATTGAAGTTTTGGGGTGTATTATATGGGACAAAGGGTGTAAGGATACGCCCTTTTTTTCTGAGAGTGTAGTGTATAACCACTGCATGGGAAGAAAATCCTGCGGGGGTAGTGAAACAGGGAGAGAAGAGATCGCGCGTTCTCTTGTCAAAAGGCAAGAACTCTTGAGAGGTGGAAATGACGAGATAATTTGGGAAAGGACCATGTGAGAGAATCTGGATACTTTTTCATCAAGTTTCGTAAAAGCATTTTTTTAGAGAATCGTTGAATTAGCACGTTTAATTAAGGTTTAGCGAGAAAAACTATATTTCCACTTGAAATAATTTACGCATTACTTAATTCGTATTTGTTAGCAATGGTGTGGCGTTCGTTAAAACCGAAGGCATCAGAAATTCAATAGCTTTTTCTTGCGAAAAACGGGATGACTTCCTCGTTGATGAAAATAACTTGGAAGGGGTCGCGTCCTTGGCGTGGGAGTTTCGTGGCTAGTTGAATTCCCATTCGAATGTAGCCTGCTCATTTCGTGGCCCTAGGGCAGCGGATTAATGCGAGTTTCTTTTGATCTCTGCGTATGTACATAATTCTAAATCACTATACACTGTTATATGTCTGTGACCATATTGAGTATTTTACTATGGTACTGGTAGCGTTATGGACGTGCAAATGTGGCGCATGAAATAATTTACACAGACTGCCTAAATTATGGTTTGTGAATGTGCAAGTACACTGTTTCTTGAAAATATGAACTGAGAGCTCAGGATCATGTAATGTGATTGTGAGTTCGAGCTATAAAATTTAATGTTATCTCGAAATCTGAATTTGTTTCACGCAAAATATCTTACACGGCCACCCATATTTGTGTTCTTTCCTTTTTCGCACACATCACTATGGTTAATTAACCGATGGAGTTGCTCCCGCTTATAAGAAAACGCTAAAACCACTGAACGCTTCAGTAGTACCGCACTTCATAGCTCCCATTTGACGGAGAAAAAAATCATTCATTTGTTGCATGGTGCGATTTCTTAGCATTTATCTGATGTTTGTGTAGCTGTAGCACCGCTGCTCCGCCGGGTGGCTAAGCGCACTTCGTACTCCACACGAGTTATTTTACAAATCTTCAATTGGAAACGCTGTCTATGATGACCTTTACGTTACAATATACATCTCCACTGTCTAACATATACTTAGCTCTCTACCTCCTAAATCGTAAAAGTAACCAGAAAACGCAATGGACGAAACACTAGAACCTAACAGGAATAGTTGTTCATAGGGCGACTATAGTTTTACTTGATGAATATGAGTTCTATGAATATTAAATGTTGTAGGCTGCGAATTCGTTCAATATTCACAAACAAAATATTCATACTTGTTTTCTGGTCCCTTCTCACCGCTCTGCTTTTGGTTTTCGTTTCGTGGGATATGTTCATATAGTTGATATATTGACGTACACATTTTTATTAAGTCGCCATTCGGTTATTTTGCGCCGAAAAAATAACCGCGGTACCTCTTAGCTTTTCCACTTAACCAAAGCTCTCGAACTATTTTTTTTTGTTTGTTTTAGTAGCCATTCACTTGGACGGAACGTTAGCACCTCTCGTAGAAGTGCCGACGAAAACCTGTATATACTGCAGATAGTTGGTGTATATTAAAAAGGCAATGTGGGCTTGAAAATGTTATAGCGCGTTCGTTTTATGCCCTCCACGCCTGGTAGAGGTCCATCTGATCGAAACTGCCAAGTTTTAATAATGTGCGTGAGAACTCGGAGCATGCTGCTGTTCCAGCCTTATAGTAGCTCTACTCTCGCAATGTCTAAGGGTGTGCTTCTGGGCACGTATCGCATTTGGCCAGACAAAGCGCAAGAAAATCGAAAGACCCTCGATATCCGGAAGCTCCACAAAGGTGTCGATCGCGAAGTCCGAAGGCGCATGTTTAATAAGGTGAGCATCCATAAGGACTCTTCGAATGTACACTTCTCTTAGACTTGACAATGGTTCACCTACTAAACAACAAAGTTCTCTGTGCGTATATCAGCTCTCCGCGGTAGAAGTCATCGTAGGTTTGTCTGCCAGTAAGTAGCCCAAAGAGCTGGCACACTTCCGTTTGAGGGCTACGTTTTCTACTACTCGTTCTTCAGCGCTTCATCGTGGAACTCCCGACATCCTCGAACTGAAAGTTGCTTTGTTATATGCGAAACCTCATCCACGTCTCCGGACGTCAGCGTGATGACCGGCGTTTTTTTTTACATACTAATCGAAGTCGTAATTTTAGCTACTTCTATTTAGGGAGTTCCTGGACATCCCTCTCCTGTATACGAAATTAAAAGGGACCATGGTCCCTAGGCTGCGGTCCCCATACTGTTCATTCATCATACAAAAGACAGTCTGAAAACACTGTCTGAGACGTGTTTTTTTTTTTTTTTTCTGGTACGACAGCCCCGTCATCATGGTCATGCAAAAGCTGCCTGCAAACATGTTCAAAGCATGCATATATAAAGCTACTATGCTTCAAACATGCTTATGTCCGCCGATACTTTTGTCAACATGTCTGCAGGGAACGCCATGTCTCTTGTATAATGTACGAGCAGTCTGACTGCGCGGCTTTAGGCCTTCTCACACACCATGGCACAGAATGATGTTCGGTGCATGGACCGGTGATTTAGCGGAAGACGTTCAGTTCGCTCTAATTCAGCCACTAAAGCTCCGGTTTTCTCGGTGGATAATGAGGCTTCAGTTTGTTTTAGATGCCGGCGTTTTAGCGGTTAATCTTAGTGTGCGTAGTGCTTGCAAAAGAATTGCCCGGCTGTAGCATATAAAGCGAATCACAGCGTTCATTTAAAACAATAGAATATAAATAAAAAATATTTACGGAATATTTATTTAAGCTCATAAAAAACAGAGTAAAAGGCACAGGTTCTTGGGTACTGAATCTGCGTGCGAAACGAGCAATGTTATTCACGCCGAATAACATTGTCAGCTGTCCCTTTAGTCCGATAAAGCCCGAGTTTCACCACGGAAATATGCGTGCGCCAAAGCACCGAACCATGCGACAGCCTCACTGCCTATGTGAGGCACGCGTAAGCGCATGACGACCGAAGCTTCACTCGCTAAAGCGCCATTCACTAAAGACACCGCGGACCCAAGATGGCAGCTACCCCGAAGGTGGTCAGAAGAGTCCAGAACAGACAGAAGACGGTCGTGGTACGCGTCGTTCTGTCGACGGCGGCGTTGCACGCGTCCTCGAAGCAGCTCTGTAGGCAGCCTCTAACGTAGTGGTCATCGAAGTAGAAACCGCCGCAATGGCTCATCCTCACAATCTCGGTGTCCACGGTCAGGGTTCCGCTGTCGAGAGCACAGCTGCGGATCACCATGGTCTCCCCCGTTTCCTCTGCGAGGACCAAGGTAGACAGGGTACAAAGAAGCCGAAGAACAATAGAGACACGAAGACAACGGGACAGGCGCTAAGTCTGAAGCTCAATTGATTTTTATTTGAAGTCGTATATATATATATATATATATATATATATATATATATATATATATATATATATGTGTGTGTGAGGCATATATATGTGAGGTGATTTCATCTCAAATCGTGCAGGCCAAAAGGGCCGAATTTTTAATTTCGCTAAAAAAGAAAACATATGGCGTCGCCTCTAAAAACGCACTAGCCACAAACCGCAAGTTCGTCGGATTTCTTGTTCTCGACTTACGAATTTTAAGAGGCCGCGGCGGAAAGCAGTGTTTTTCACATCCGTCGTGGGTCGGATGTTTCGCTCGATCTCCCGCCGTGGATTTTCAGTCCACATTGTAATAACTCTTTTAAGCACTCTGTGAACATATTTAAAAGGCTCTAATGCCATAAAATAATTTTAGGCGCTTTTTTTTTTTGTAAAAATGTCAAAAACGGCCCCTCGGTTCATCGTTGATGAACTTTGAAAATAAAATACCGGCGATCTACTTGGGTTACGTCGATACTTTTTATGTCTATGGAAAGCCCAAAACACGTTCTTTATATATATATATATATATATATATTATAAAATCACTCAGTTGTATAAAATTCCCTTTGCGGTTCGTTTACGTTAATGTTATGCTCAAACCAAAAAGTACCAAATTCGAAATCGATTTTCTAAAAAAAAAAAAAGAAACATTTTTTTTTGTTAAAATGTAGATATGATAGTCGACTACTCGAAAAGCAAGTCGAGAAAGTGTGTATTTTGTTTGTGTGTTCTATATTTAAGCATCAATACCGTACAAAAACGTGTTTTTACGGCTCGAAACGGACTTGCGGATTGCGCGTCTTCACAAACTTGGAAATATTTTTGCCTTTTTTCAACGTTCCCACATAAAAATGAAATACAGTAGTTCCACTCTGTTATATTTATTGATCATTTATATTTTATTATAGGCAGCAAGCCACATTGGAGTAGTTCAAAAGAGAAAGCAACACTTCTTAACAAACCAGCAGGCGTCGTAAATTTTTAATGTGTAGAAATCGGCAGACGTCGTATTTATTCGAGGCCCTTATTGGCCTATATGAACGTCCCGCCCTTTCGAAACCAGCAGATGACCACGACATTTCACCCTCGCTGTGTTAGATAGGACGGCTCGTGACAGTAAAGCGAGCAGCGCACCCTGTGTCACGAGGAGTGAAATGGTACTAATGTGTCGTTGACGCGGCGAACAGTGACGGCCACCCAGGAGTCAGTCAGTCAGAGTATTGCAGAAGGGAAAGCAAGGGAACTGTTACCTGGGAAGATGAGGGCACCACGGCCTTACAGTATCGACGGTCAACAACAGTTCTGCCGGCCAAAACAACGCCGCGTGCGCGCTAAACTTGCGGCGCGGGACAACAATCCCGCAGACGCACACACGAAGATGGGCCTGTTCCGCAGGGATGTGGGGAAATTTTGAAACCAGCCATCCGTGCTCGCGTGAAACGATACCGCGTATTTGCCCAAGCTTCGAGCGCCCTATCCTTGAAATGGCCGAGCTTTATTTCTCTCCGCGGGGATCCGATAGCACCGAAGGGTTATCTCTTTTGGAAACAGCAAAGCCCAGAGGCTAGTTGAGTCGAAGTCAGCCTCCTTGTCAACTGTAACCGTTTGTGAAGAGTGGTCTTTTCCCGAGATGAAAAGTTAGCGCCAGCTGACGTGTTCTTTTGAAAAAGGGAAGGAGAAAGAGAAAGTTTGAGTAGCTACAGTAAGTATACCTCGAAAGCTCCTCTCCCGACATGAAGCTCGAGCCATGTTACGTCTGGGTTACCTTCTCGCGCATCGCTGTTCAAATCTATTCTTCACTCTGTTCCGCACAGCCACTGTTCCGCACAGCCGTCGTGGCTGTGCGGAACGGAGTGAAGAATAGATTTGAGCATCATCTGGACGCCGTCATCTTGCCAGGCTTCAGTGTCGTGGGACTGGACTCGGCGTCGTTCAGTTTGTTTTTGTTTTATTTCGTGTGTGTTTCTTCGCCCCGCTGAACTTTGTTTTTCGGATGCGGTTCTGCTGAACGCTTTTTTTTAAATGTTTTATGACTAACTGTCTGTTAGCATTGTTTACTTGTTGGGTTTATTTCGTCATAGCGTAGCGGCCTGACGGTGCTGTAGAGAGCGTGTTCGCACGCATTCGGTTGTGTCCCGTTTAGGGAATGCCCGGAGGAGTTGGTTTTTGTTCTTGCCATGTGCAGCTAAGCTTTTGCGTCTTGATTAATTTTTTTTTTTTAACCTCTACGTGTCGTCGACTTATTTGTCTGACTCTCCACCAGGCGTGGGCCTATCGACTTGCCACCGCTCGAACCGAAGTCTTTTATTTTTTAACGCAATTTTTGTTAAAATCGGAGTTGGATTTCATTCTTATTTATTTATTTATTTTTATTTTCTACCCCTCTCCAATCTTTCTGTGTGTTTCGGACCGTTTCTGTGTCTTCACTTTTGTTTATTACGGATGTGAAAGGTCATTCCCTGGTGATCTCTGCGATGTCCGGTGAACGAACCCTAGCGTTTGGCTTCGGAAAAAATTGTATATAATATATCAATGATGTGGTGACTTTCTATGTCTTAGTAATATGACAGCTAATAGCTAGTCATGCTAACTTACAGTGAAATTTTTATAAATCGAAGCAATACAACGTCTGTGCCTCTTGGATATTGAAGGTCTACTAGGCCTGCTAATTTGACTATATATGTTGCTCGTGGTTTTCCGCTCTTATCAAAACATAAATAACTATTCAACACCGAAAATTGCGTTTATAATTTATTACAAACGCAGAGAGAAATTCAAGAAAACTTTTTCACAATTCATAGAAACGCACGGGTCGCTATCTCTGACTTAGGTCTTGCATAACGAGGACGTCTTTTTTCGATATTGAGACTTAAATATAGAACATACAAACAAAATACACACTTTCTCGACTTACTCTTCGAGTAGGCAGCTGTCATATCTACATTTTAGGAAAAAATTGAAGAAATAAAAAATGGGCTTTTTGAGAAAATCGACTTCAAAATTTATACTTTTTGGGTTTAGCATGAAATTAACGTAAACATACCGCAAAGGATATTTTATACAGCTGAGTCATTTTATAATATATCATATGAAGAGCGTGTTTTGGGCTCTTCATAGACATAAAAAATATTGATATATTCCAAGTAGATCGACAGTATTTAATTGTCAAAGTTCGTCAACAATTGACCGAGGGGGCGTTTTTGACATTTTTACAGAAGAAAAGCAAGACGCCTAAAATTATTTTATGGTATTAGAGCCTATAACCTGTGCTCATAGAGTGCTTGGAAGAAGTTATTATAATGTGGACTAAAAATCCACGGCGGGAGATCGATCGAAACATCCGACCTACGCCGGGTGTGAAAAACACTGCTTTCCGCCGCGGCGTTTTTTAAAATTCGTAAGTCGAGAACACAAAATCGGACTAGCTTGCGGTTTGCGGCTACTGCGTTTTTAGAGACTACGCCATAACATATATTTTTTTTTCAGCGAAATTAAAAATGTGACCCTTTTTGCCTGCACGATTTGAGATGAAATCACCCATATATATATATATATATATATATATATATATATATATATATATAAACGAATATGTGCAGATGAATGAACCGTACTTAATCCAATGAATTAAAGAATCCAAGTTTTCAGGAACCCGCCGAAAGCCAAAAAACGCCGTTTTTTGGCTTTCGGCGGGTTCCTGAAAACTTGGATTCTTTAATTCATTGGATTAAGTACGGTTCAGTCATCTGCACAAATTCGTTTATATAGATGGTGCGCTAACAGAATTGTCTTCTGTCATTTTTGACAAAGAAACGCCCTTAACAATCTCTCTCTCGATTTTATTTTTTGCTTTTTCTTAAAAGTTTGAAGATTCCAAGCCTGGTTCACAGCCATATATCGCCTACAGCGGTCAATAAAATGCACCCCCCTCCTTCGCATTATTGAGCACACAAAGATTATGTTCTCGTGCTCTATCATTAATACAGGGCCCAGTTTGCCCTATAAACTTCCACGAAGCGGTATCTCATATACGACATTCGTGACACATTCAGTATAATGCAATGCGTGTTTCTTAGAACAAGGTGTTTTTCCTGCTTGTCAGCATCAAATGTGCACCCAGACGAAAAAATAAAAAAAACTAAAAGGCTAGTATACATAATGTCGTACTGGCACAAAGTATTTCACAATATTAAAAAGATCGCTTATAAATATGATGTTAACGTTGTTTTCTCGGTCACTTGTAAACTGTCCAAAATCTGTCCGATGTTGACAAGGCAGAAAAATTCACTTTGTATACGAAATACCTCTTAGCTACGGAGAAGTTCACATTAGGCAAACTGGGCGCTGCTTTAATGATAGAGCATGAGAACATAAAATCTGTGTGCGCAACAATGTGGGGTGGCGCCTTGCTGACCACTGTAGGCGATGTGTTTGGAAACCAAGAATAAAATCTACAGTTTTTTTTTTCGCTTAATTTTTTAGCAAAAAATAAAACAAAAAGAAAGATTATTGAGGCGTTTCTTTCTTTCTACTCAAAAAGACAAATGCCAATTGTGTTAGCGCCCCATCCATTTACTTCAAAAAGCGGTACAGTCTCTGGATGACTGTCTGTGAGAGTGGTCATTGGTTGTGACGCGGGTTGGGCAGAGGAGTGTATATATATATATATATATATATGTGTGTGTGTGTGTGTGTGTGTGTGTGTGTGTGTGTGTGTGTGTGTGTGTGTGTGTGTGTATGTGTGTGTGTGTATGTGTCTGTGTGTGTGATTACTTTATTTGAAGATAAGTTGAGAGTTAGCACCTGTCCTGTTGTCTTCGTGTCCTTTTTTGCTCCCGTTTTGTTTGCCCGAACCCAAGCCTTCATGCAAAATATTTTATTTAACACGTATGTTTCGAAACATAGCACCTATATGACGTTTCACCGTACTCTATGGAACGTAGTTTTGATACGAAAATCTAGATGGCGCTTCAAACGACGGGAGGCGGACTGAAGGGAGTTCGGGGGCTACCCCCTCTGCGTGAGTTCCACAACTGAGGTAATCTATAACGTTGGTGGTCACTTGAGGTGACGTCACAGTGTAATCTCGTTGTGTCACTTGACACCATGATGTCATTTGACCTGACGTCGTACGGACGAACTGAAACATTTTGAAATTGAAAAGCACTCGATGCTTTAAAAGCCAAACGAGTAATTCGAAACCTATGAATACTGAAGCGAACTTTACCCTGGTTCTATAATATATATCTCAATCCCTCTCAGTACAGTATTTCATATGTTATCGTTCAATTTTCACCGTGATCCATTCCAGGTATTGGCACTGTTTTTGTTACTATGCCCTGCTGCAGCCTCCGATTTTAGGGTAATCAAACCCTTGCCTCCTGCATTCCGATGTCACCAGCCTGGCTCATAAGTAAAGTAAACCTTGTTCCGTGCCATAGCGCGATTCTAATTCGTGTGCAAAATATGACGTTCGATGAAACAGTGTTTGATGAATTAGCGTTCGATAAAATGTCCGGACCCACTTTAAAACAGTTCAACGCCAGAAAACCTTAACTGATTGACCAAAATAATCCTAGGAGAAGTGGAACATTGCATTATAATTAGTTGAATTTAATTGCATTATAATTATGATGGACCAATTTAAACTCTTTCCTAGTGGCCCCCAGAGCTCCCGCATAGGGTCAGGGCCAAAAAAACCCTAACAGATATTTCTTTCTGTTTTTGCTTCTGGGCCCACTAAAAACACCCTGCACATTAAAGGTTACCCTTGGGTACAAGCGCGTGCGGTGCTTGTGCGAGGGTAATTTGGCGCACGAGCAGCGATTGCAACGCCCTTTTTGCAATGGTCTTGCAAGTATGAAGCGAAAAGGTACGATTGCCGAGGCCACGGGTAAACAACGCACCGTAGACACCGTTGAGCTTGATGCAGGCGGTGGCTGGAAAGAGTCCATTGCGATTCTTTCGCGACGCCATACAGGGCGACTCGAGCATCGCTGCCGAGTAGTTATTATGGAAAGGATCCTCGCAGGCCAAGTCGCTGTGGTTCCGGGAGGAGCACTTGAAGCAGTCCAAGCACCAAACTCCTGCACATCGCAACCAGAAAAAAAAAATGTTTTGCGATTGTTGTTGTAGTTTTGTTAGCCAGCTTTAGGCGATCGACGTTCTGGTTTTAAGCGGAAAGCTTTGAGAAACATCAGTCGAAGTCACAATGCAAAATCAGTTAAAAGCAAAAAATCTTCGAGGACGCTTAAAGGGAGACTGACAGGGTATTTACGCTCGCCCAGGTTTTTATTTGTACGTGACATATGAGAGCCCAAATACCCAGAAAACAATTCGCAGCTCGAAATTCGTTTTCTTCCCGCCCGAAAGCCGCCGATCGGGAATCGGTCGGTTTGACTCGCGCTCACTCTCTTCTCCGTGGTCACGTGCTGTTTTCTATGGTTCAGACACAACCACCAAATATAATCAAAGCCCTGGGTCAGCGAAGGCACACACACAATATTAAAAATAGAAAATGAATATGATACTCCTTTTTGTGGCTTCTAAGAAACTGCAAATACGTTCATTAAAAAAAAGGTTGCAATGTTACGTGATTTCTGCCAACTCAGTCTCCTCCCCTGCCAAGTTTCGGTTTCAATTTCAAGTAGCTGCGTTTTTTTTTTTTTTTAATTATTAAAATTTGCATGACGCTGCAGCACAATATTAATCTGGTAGTCTTCTGACACCATAATAAATCGCCTGGCAAAAAAACAAAAACAAGGGGGGGGGGGGGGGGGGTGTCAGTGTCCCTTTAAGCTTCGCCTTTAAGAGTAGAACGCGATAGCGTTATCGAACACCGTTCGCATCGCCTTCTCATTCGCTTTTCATGCTCTTCCTGCCAGTTAGCAGCAAGTGCGGCAGGCATGGCCTAAAGCCTCTAGACAGTAGTGCGTCTGGCTTGCAGACGAAGGGCCTCGGCTTCGAATCCCCCTTAACATTATTCACACTTTTCTTCGAGGCAGATCAATTACTCTAAAAAGAGAAATCATACGGCGAGCTTTCATTCGCAGTACATGTCATGTTGTTAATCACTTTCATTCCACGTTTGACGTCACGTCTCATGAGAGTGTTGTTGGTTGTTTGAAATTCCTACGCGTTGTCATGGAGCTGTGACGTCATGACCCAATCGACCAATCCGGATTTTCCCGTAACAACGACGCCGACACCGACTTTTCTGCGATACGAGCTCCTTAACGCTACGCGTTAAAACGCCAATAAATATCTGCTTAACAGAATGGATAATTGGGCAAGTTGCCGGGTATTCATGTTAAAACAGCGCGACTTGAAACCGACCAAGTGAAAGACTAGACAACACGAGAGCTCGTGTTGTGTAGTCTTTTTCTTCGTCCGTTTCGAGACGTGCTGTTTCAAGATGAATAAATATGTTGGTGAGAAAAATACAAAATCAGAAAAAACCGAAAAACTCCGATTTCTGGATAAGCTCCTGCTAAGACTGGCTTTCTCAAAACCCTCCCTTCTTAGAGCTAAACTCTTAGTGTTCCGTGAGAGAGTTTCACCGACAATCACTGTTTTATCGTCCATCCGAAACAAAGAACCGAAACGCACCGATATATAAAAAAATAGCAAAAAATGTCCGCGTATTTTTTTTATTTTTTTTTATAAATAAAAAAACTGAGAGCATATGCCCTAGCTATCGCAAACAAACTAAAACACGGCAGGGAAGAAGTTTTTTCAAAAATAAAAATGTGGCATTAACACTCGCGTCTACAGGCAGCAGCAATGTGAGGCAGCTATAGATGATAAAATTGAATGAAAATGTATTTTTAAAGGGTATTGATTTTGGGTTGTTATTTTCCTTTCCAGTTTAGCATGAAACTAGGCATTTTGTTTGAGTTACAAAATAAATAATCCGGGATTAGGCGAAATTTGCGAGCACTCTTCCTAAGTGTGTTTAATACTATCCAACTTTAATGAGGGCACGTAGCTAGCTATACACGAGTATTTGGAGCGTGTGAATATATTAAGTTTGAATTTAGGCTTCTCATCCTCTCGGCTGGGAAGTGACTTCCACTAGGTCGCGCTGATCTGTCCAAACTTTAGCAACAGCGTCATCAATAATGTACCATCCAGCGGACAACGTGAATTCCGGGAGCTGATCCGTCATCCACAAAGCCACATCGTTCGTGAACGCATACACAAAATAACCTGCTGTTAAAGGGGTCATGAAACGAAATATTTGCTTTCGATATATATTCTCTGGGATGTATCCTTGACGTCCAGGATATACTAAGCGTGTTTGTCTTTCTAGGCGGTGATCCAGAAAATTTTTTTAAAAATAAAGCAGCGTTCACCTCTTCATCCCCTGACCAAATGAGTTAAGCGACCACGTCTGGTGCCGGTCGTATGCCACCGATTTTTGTCAATGCAGTGACTGGATGTCTGTCTACATTGTGCACACGACTGGCCCCGACTTGGAGATCTGCAGGGTCTTTGGCTCTGTCAAAACCCTATCGGTGACGCAGTTCTCGTATCTAATTCATGAGTAACATTCGGCTCTCATCTCCGCCAAAATTGGCGGGAAAAATGTTCTCTCTTGACGTTACACGTGACGTCACGTATGACGTTGATCTGGGAAACGTCCCATAATGCAACGCGTGGTTACGCCCACGCCGCTCAAGCCGGAAACAAGCGCCCGAAAGCTGCGCCCTAAAAAAAAAAAAATTGCATGTCTCCGTAGGGCACATTGATTCCCCCGACCACGTCAGCAAGCTTTCCAGAGAATATCTGGAATGAAAAGTGTGCTTTTGGGTTTCTAAATCACGCTGCGAAAACGAAGCTCCTTCGTAACGTACGTTGTGCATTAGCATGCGTCAGTCATAGCTGCATTAGTATATGGTTGTGTAAAATGCTTATAGATCAAGCCCAATGATCATTTTATGGTCCTTCTAATTTTTTATATTTTATGTCCTGTCTCTCACAGTGAGTTTCTCACCCGCTTTAATCTGTTTTGTCATATTTCTTGAAATATGCTTATTAATTGGCGACGACCATACAAGCGCTTTTGATTAGGGCATTAGTTCCAAAATGTTTATTTAGGTTCTATCCCATTTTCGTTTTTACCGGTAATTCTTTACCGAAGTACATGAGAGGTAGAGCTGCACGTTGCGGTGAAGAAACCTCTTTGCGGTTCAGCATCACTAGCACGACTAAAAACGTCATAATGACGATCTTACTCCGACAATTAATTTCAATTCACTCAAGCACATTCTCCGAAACTCACTAATACACTTTCAATTGTCTTCTCTCGTTTTATATATTTTTAATTATAATTATTTAAAGTTTACCGGGTGGCATCGCCGTTTTTCGGTGATAATGACGCTATCTGTTCGCATCTAACGAACGCGAGGACGGTTCTCACTTTTCGCAAATTCGTGAGGTCCAAGACATACGTACTGCGCCATCATTCATCACAACTTTCTTTATTCTACATCTCCCTAATATGGCCGCGCACACTTTAATACATTTCTTACTTCTTGTTCCAGCAAGAGTATGCAGAACAGACGACAGCGTCGACCAGTGCGCTTTTGTTTTGTCTCGTTTTCATCTCCGACCTGGAACGTTCGATCGGGGGGAACTTACTCATGAATATTTTGCGGGCCGCTGTCGACTTTAAACAGCAAACGCACACGCAAAAATTATTGCCAACGGCGGCTGCCGAGGCAGGTGCAACGTGGAGCGCGCTTGCGCGGAAGAAATTCCTAAAAGGGATCGAGAGCATTTCGTTATAGAAACCAACTCGCTATATAAACGACACTTTGTAGGCGGTAAAGAGCCTAGATTTGAGCGAGGGAGCAACTGAAGCCACGGAGAGTTTGATTTTTAATGGTGGACGGACGCCTCCTGTAACGATTGGTCGTAACTGCGCACGCGTTGCGTCGTCGCGTCGAGAGTAAGCGGGCGGAGTGGCGGACACGCTTGCTGATGATCACAAACCACGTGACTTCGGTCGAGCGATTGGAAACACTCTGTAATCTAGGCACACAAGCAAGCAGGGGTGGGTCGGCTTTTAGAGCGCTGCTTCCGTCGATAAAAAGATGGGAAACGGTGGCACGACTTGGCTTTTAAATTGTCTAGGGGGGACTACATTCTTTTTTGTCGTTTGGTTCATTTTAAGTTGGGCGAGTGTTCGAAAGAAGTAGACGGGTTGCGCGTTCACGAACCTTTGGTGACACAGAAGAGGAAGAGGCCGAGATGGACGATGGGATGCATCTCCCGCCGCTTGCGCCACCAATGGGCCAAGCCCTGAAGCGAAGATTGGAGAGAGAAAATCAACTTAATTTATTCCTTCATTCATTCATCCATTTCTTTATATTTAGTGCTCATGAACAGCTGGAACCATGGTAATAACGCACAAACACTAATATTACAAATTAGCCAGAAACAAATTTAAAGTTGTTAAAATACCTTAGTTGAAAATTCTTTAGTTGTTAAAACACCTTCACTTTACTAAAGCGCGATGCTTTTTAGTAACAGTAATTAAATAATGTTCGTAGCCACATATGAAGTAATTGCCTTCCAGAAAAAAAATGCACCGCTTTCAATAGGAGTAAGCAAATGAAAGGATGAATACCTTGAACTGTATAACTTCAAGGTATTAAAATTATACAGTTGGTATAAGAGCACTCTGGTGTAAGTCATGAATAAATGAAGCAGTTGTCTATGCTACGCCTATTTCCTGTTCATTATTTTCTAATGATTACAAAGTAAAGTCTAGCATTATTAGATTACAGAATTCGTCTTCATTTTTATGCAAACGCTTTTTCTTGTAATAGAAATTAATTTACCTTTCTGCAAACTACACGTAGGTATAGTATAGTAATGCAATTGAAGTTCGAAGCTAGTTTTTTTTCTGTTTCGCAATAGGTTCATCTTGTGGGGTACATTTTAATTCTGTTGTTTTCGTTGTGCGGTGGTTTTCTGAGGAGAGATGGTATGAGCTAGGACCCCGTACGCTGTAAGGTCACGTATACAAAAGCAAGGGCTGATGGGGGCATTATTTCCAAAATGGAAGTGTGCTCCTGCATCTGAAATTACAGTAAAAGTCTTCGAAACTAAAGTAAGAGCGCAGGCGAGCGAACTCAGGAAGGAACGGACGCACTCCAAGCTTCCCTGACGTTCGTATAGTTTGAAAACTTCGTCAATCTGTGCCTCGGTGACTTATATTATACGGCGGTAGCTGACATGTGCCCATTTCGGGCGAAATTCGGTGTGATCCGTACGCAAAAGCTACGTGATTGCGGGGAGAGAGCACCGCTTTCTGTCTTTACATCGCGGTCGCCTTTCGCGGTGTCCTCCCACGTCATCCAAAACAAGACGCGCTATTGGGCTATTGTTCCAGCCCCTGACCGCCATTCATGGAACGTTCTCCGGCCCGCCTTCTCACTTCTCCCTTCTCCCCAGACACGCAAGATTCGGTCTCCGTGCGAGAAGAGGGAATGACAAGTGCACCGCGCTGAGCAGAGTCAACGGAGGGCCGGGCGGACGAGAACAGCGAAGGGCGTAGGACCCCGACTATCACGCACGAGAAGCATCCCGACGCATCCATACATCCCCTAAAGCATATATCTCCGAGAACTATTGAACTACTAACAAAGCTATAGCAAATATCTTGAGGTGCACATTTTAACAACGCAACAGCCAATCGCTCCAGAGTTTTGTGGGCTTGTTTTCAATTTCTTTTTGTGTATACTATTAACTTCAGTGCAGTTTTAAAAATACCATAATTTCGGAAGTATAGCCTTAAAAGTAAAACATGCACACTAACTTTTGGAATTAATTTGTTAGAGTATGCTATGATCATACTCCCGTGTCTGGGCCCAGAAAGCAATTTCAATATTGATTGTTTGCCAGATATGCAGTTTCGCCTTCGGCACTTCTCTGACGATGCTTGCATGAGTGCCAGTTATTGACGCTGTTGTTGTTGTTGTTTTGTTGTTTTTTGAACGTTGGAAAGACTGAAAGAAAAAGTTTCGGACGCTCGGCGAAATGTTAAGGATAGTGCGGACATTTTTGTATACAAGTTGGTGTCTTGTCCTAGATCCTATCGGTCGTCCCGGCGTGCCGATAGCGCCCCTAGCGCTTCAGTTTGTTCTTAGTGGAAAAGCTCTGTCGGAATCGTTTCCAGGCCTAGACCTTTAATCGATCGTAATAATACTTACAAAGTTAAAATCAGCCAGATTATATTTTTTCTTCTGTGCTATTTTGTAATTATCGTATACGCTAAAAATGTTTAGCGTGAGAAATTCATTTTGCTACAGATGGTTCTTTGAACCCCGAGAAAAATTAATCTCGTAGCAAGACGTATTCATTCAGTCAGCTTTTTTTCCCCCAATGCATTCATTTGTTCTGCGGTAAATCGATCCAGCTGTGATGTTCGAGGTGTTCGCGAACTCGCTGCGACAGGCTACCAAGTAAGAGCGCAGCACATCTTACCATTTTCATTAGTACCGCTTTTTCACAAACTTAGTTTTTGTTAGCCAACAGGAAAATCTCGATCATCAAAATTGTCCCATAGCATAAAGCTGCACACTAATAATTGCGCACATCTATGGAGCAAAATCTATACGTTTGAAACATTTTAAGTATACACTGCAATACACTCTCGACATCTGAAATGTAATTCAAACAAACAAGCTTACCGTTTATTTTTTTTTTTTTTTAAGATGCATTGCGCATTAGTTTGAAATCAGCGGCTGCCGCTCCCGGTATCACCGCTAGCGTATCCGCACACACTCGAAGTATACTCTCTAGTATACTGCTAGTAAACAATATGATTTATGTACTCTTTCCAAAGTGTGTGTGTGTGTGTGTGTGTGTGTGTGTGTGTGTGTGTGTGTGCGTGTGCGCGTGTATGCGTGTGTGCGTGTGTGTGTGTGCGTGTACGTGTGTGTGTCTGTGTGTTTCATAAAAGTGCGCAATTAGTATACTTTTAGCATATTTCCATCTACCACATGTTCGACATGCGTGCGAACATTGTATGTTGGGCAGCTTAATAAACCCGCGGGGCGTGGCATATATTATGATCAGGCTTCTTGCTTCGTGATTGGTTTTTCGGTGCTCTTTTTCAGCTCATGCCGCATTTTGATTGGTTGCGGAGCGATAAAAAGATGCAAAGGCTCGCCACGCCCTGCTTTTCACTGGCAATAGCGAGGTGAATTAAACTCCTATTAATAAGCAAAATTTCGCTACCTTAAAAGGCATTACAAAGCGCTAAACTTTTTTTTTCTTTAACGTTTAACATGTCTCGCTATAGGCGATCCATATTAAGCCAATTTCTGACTTCAACAGACGTCTGACCTCCTTCCTCCTCGACGATAATAACAGCGTCATTACCCGCCGACGCAAACCACGAAATTGTTTGCAGCAGTAAAAACGCGCGTGTGGCGCGGGATTTTGTTTTAAATGTCGCGACCGGCGCAAATGCCAGGTATAACCCTCTTTTTATGTGTGTGTGTGTGCTTGTTTGTGCTGCAGTTATACTTATGTTTCGTTGTAATTTCAGCGAAGAAGAGAAGAAAAAACCGCTTGGCAGGGTCCTCGGGTTCGGTTGACGCGCGCTTGATAATGGCCGTGCGTATTTCCTCGTCCCCCATTATTTTTTGACAGCCGCGGGCAGGCGCTTCCCTCTTTACGCTATTGTGCCTTCCTCTTTATTTCTTTTTTTGTTTTGTTTTGTTTATTCTGCGGTTCCACGTCTGGGCTGCTTTCTTCGTAGCGGCACGGCTCGTTTATGGCGGGTCCTTGGGGCGCACGACGGTTCCGGCGTCCGTTTGCCGGTGTGCTTTTGCGGAACAAATAAAAATACGTATGTCGACGCACCAGCAACCTAAAAGAGTACGTACGCAACCTTCTACGTTTTTTTTTTTTTTTTTTTTTTGTTTCAATTTTCGATGAATTTTCGCGATGTTATTGAAATCTCGCGCACTTCGTCGCCAAACGTTTGGTGGTTGGTGGCTTCCCAAGTTGGCCATTGAGGCCCGGTCGTCCACCGACGTTAGATGCGAGCAACGAATCCTGTTTTTCCAGAAATGGGGGAAAAATGGCCCTGGTGTACCGTTCAAAGGGAAGCCCGTAGGTACGCCTTTGAAGGGATTCCCTATTCGCTATCCAAGGAATGTTTATACACTCCTATTTCTCGTCCGGACTAAAACCGTTCTATGCCGCATATAATGGGTGCGACTCTGATTCGCCCTGTTGTAATATCAAAGTTCGCCCTGTTGTAACATCAAAGTTCGTATAAAACAATCATCAAACGCCAGCGGTAACATTTTCTTTCCGGGTGTTTGGAGGTTGGAGAGAAAAGAACGCAAATAGTGAGTTGGCATCTTCCACGATACAGCGACCAATATTCAGGACGCATGGTTCGCTTACAAAAATTGGTTTATGGGGGTCCTTAAACTAAAATGTAATGTTGCGTTGTTTTTTTTTTAATTTAATGAGGAGTTCCGAAAATAAATGTTTAACTAGGCGAACTTCTACCGACAAAATTAAGGATAAAACTACCCCGCATTCTACGTCGGCGACGGCAGGACGACTGACCCCAAGCAGCGCGTTACCGCTGCAGTCAGAGACATGGTATATACGTTGAAAAACGTTCTGAAACAGAACACTAAATGAGAGGCCGATAAAGGGCTCGGATTTCCCAGAAAAGTAAAGATTAATAAAAACAAATTCGGAAGACACATAAGACTGCTTACGGGTAGGAATGCGAGAGCATCCCTACAAGCAGCGCGCCACGTCTTCTTTTTCATATGGCGCTCCGGAGGTAACATGACGCTCCCGCACTGCGCAGGCGCGGCGAACCGCGCCGGCTCCACGGCTTCCGTGACGGTGCCTCTGCGTTGCTGCGCTTTTGGCCAATGGGAATTTATGTGACGTTTTTCGCTGCTACAGACAACGGCTACAGACAACGCCGGCTTCGCCCCGGACAGTTAATGATTTCGCATTAATGATTATTTTGGGCCGAGCGGCGTTCGAGCCCCGTTCGTCGGCGTGGGAGCTGCGCAAGCGTTGCCAACTCCACCACGCTCCCGGCAATACTTGGCTTTTCCCGAAGTCTGAGCGCAGCACGAGCAGGGTGGGTCAAGGGAGCAATGCCCAAAACGCAACGTCACGGCGTTCCTCCGTTCATCTGCGCGTGCTCATCCGTCGCCTCATCCAATCGAGGATGCACCGTGACATTTCGCTTTCGATCCACGTATATTCGGTCGTGTATCTTGCTTTGACATTAAAGCCGTAGTCGC